ACATTTTAAGTATAACTTAAGTATCCAAGTGGTCATAATTATACATAGTAATTTACACTGCTGGCCAAAAGTTTGCAATAATTATGATTTTTTTATAAAAAGTCTCTTCTGCTCATCAAGGCTGCATTTATTTGATCATAAATACAGTAAAACAGTGTAATATTACTCCAGTGTAAATCATCTGTTCTCTATGTGAATATACAGTAAAGTGTAATTTATTCCTGTGATCAAAGCTGAATTTCAGCATCATTACTCCAGTCTTCAGTGTCACATGATCCTTCAGAAATCACTCTAATATGAGGATCTGATGCTCAAGACACATTTATGATTATTATCAGTGTTGAACACAGGTGTGGTGCTTTAGAATTTTTTGGAAACCGTGATACATTTTATTGTTCAGGATTCTCTGATGAATATAAAGTTCAAAAGAACAGCATTTATTTGAAATAGAATCTTTTGTAACATTATAATGTCACTTGATCAATTTAATGCATCCTTGATGAATAAAAGTATCTTTAAACTCTAACTTGCCCCAAATTTTCATAGTTTCAGCACAGTTTCCACAAATGCTGTATTGTTGACGGCATATTAAAAGTCTTTCCTCGTTGCTGTGCTTAGCCCAGCATGCAGACTTATTTTAGTGTGCACTCAGTGCCAAATACATCCGGCGAGACCTCGACGCTTCAGGCATATTGCGGAAGCAAGTGAAGCCGAAGCGTCTCCTGCCAAAGAGTGTCTTGTCTTGATTAGAGTTAAGTGTGTTAATCGCACAACAGATGGCCGGCCTGTTAGCGTCCAGTAATACTCTTATGCCCACCAAACACATCTTAATCAAGCTGTGATCTTTCTTTAATCACACTTCTTACTGGCAAACACCATCAGTCTAATCCTGAGAATGAGCTCTGTCTGAAGCTGTCATAAGACACTTTACAAACAACAACAGCAACTGTTAGCGCTGGTGAGTTTCTTGTGCTCTTCTATAAAGCGTCTCCATGTAAGATCTCTCAGACTCAGACTAGCATGGATCTGCAGGCGTCTGTACTGGCGTTAAAAGCAGTGTATAGATGTGTGTTAGTTTAGTTGAGCGCGACACATGCGGCGACAGATGCTCTCAGATCAACTCAAAGCTTCAGGAGTTTATAAGCCGCTTTGCAGCAAACAACTAATTTTCTGTAATTGTCTCTGGCTAACGGTGTCGATCCGGGGTTTAGACACCCGTCCTCTCCTGTAGGTGTGTGTGTGTGTGTGTGTGTGTGTGTGTGTGTGTGTGTGTGTGTGTGTGTGTGTGTGTGTGTGTGTGTGTGTGTGTGTGTGTGTGTGTGTGTGTGTGTGTGTGTGTGTGTGTGTGTGTGTGTGTGAGTGAGTGAGAAACAAGATCTGATCATTGTCCTTCATTCAGAACACAATTAGTGCAGTTGAGGAATGAATGTTGTGATACTGTAGATGGATGGATAATAGAGATAGATGGATAGATGATAGATAGATGGATGGATGGATAGATAAATAATAGATGGATAGGTGGATAGATATAGATAGATCGATGGATGGATATGATAGATGAATAGATAGATGGATAGATAATAGAAATAGATAGATAGATGATAGATAGATGGATGGATGGATAGATAAGAGATAGATAGATGGATGGATGGATGGATAGACTGATAGATAGATAGATAGATAGATAGATAGATAGATAGATAATAGAGACAGATAGATAGATGGATAATAGAGACAGATAGATGATAGATAGATGATAGATGGATAGATAGATAATAGATGGATAGATAGATAATAGAGATAGATAGATAATAGATGATAGATAGATAATAGAGATAGATAGATGATAGATGGATAGATAGATAATAGAGAGATAGATAGATGATAGATGGATAGATAGATAATAGAGAGATAGATAGATGATAGATGGATAGATAGATAATAGAGATATATAGATAGATAGATGGATAGATAGATAATAGAGATAGATGGATGGATGGATAGATAGATAATAGAGATATATAGATGATAGATGGATAGATAGATAATAGAGATATATAGATAGATAGATGGATAGATAGATAATAGAGATATATAGATATATAGATGATAGATATATAGATGATAGATGGATAGATAGATAATAGAGATATATAGATAGATAGATAGATAATAGAGATAGATGGATGGATGGATGGATGGATAGATAGATAATAGAGATATATAGATAGATAGATGGATAGATAGATAATAGAGATATATAGATATATAGATGGATAGATGATAGATAGATAATAGATATGGATGGATGGATAGATAGATAATAGAGATATATAGATAGATAGATAGATGGATAGATAGATAATAGAGATATATAGATATATAGATGGATAGATGATAGATAGATAATAGATATGGATGGATGGATGGATAGATAATAGAGATAGATGGATAGATAGATAGATAGATAGATAGATAGATAGATAGATGGATGGATAGATAGATAATAGAGATAGATGGATGGATAGATAGATAGATAGATAATAGAGATAGATGGATGGATAGATAGATAGATAGATAATAGAGATAGATGGATGGATAGATAGATAATAGAGATAGATGGATGGATAGATAGTTCAGTAACTGAACTATTGAAATATAATCTTTTGTAATATTATTAATGTCTTTACTGTCACCTTTGATCAATTTAATGTGTCCCTGATGAGTAAAAGTATTCATTTCCTTATACATTTTTTGTACTGATTCCAAAATGTGTGTGTGTGTGTGTGTGTGTGTGTGTGTGTGTGTGTGTGTGTGTGTAACTGGTTATTTACGGCTCAGAGATCAGACGCTGATTAACACACTGAGATTAAGATTATTCTCATCCTTCTGTTTAACATTAATCTGATATCAAGATTTCTGCAACACTTTACCCTCCATCTGCTGTAACCCTCAGCACAGATCACACACACACACACACACACACACACACACACACAGATCATATCATACACCAGCGCTTGCTTTGATTAAATCACACCGGCAGACAGACGTGTGTATCAGTGGCTGAACTGGGTGAACTGGTTAAAGTAAGTAAAGTTTATTTATAGAGCGCTTTTCACAGATAAAATCTCAAAGTGCTTTACAAAGTGTTACCAAAATAATAAAACGGTATACAATTGTTTTCTGGAGCGACAATTAGGGTTTCAGTCTTTTTCTAATTTAATTGGAGACAGTTTCTAGCAAGCCAGGATTTTACACAAGAAATACAATCTAATAAATCCGTTAGTTTGTGGAACTCAGAATCATTGAACGAGCAATACAACTGTATGTGGTCAGCATGAAAATGGTATGACACATTGTTAAAATGGCTCAAATCTTTAATTCTAATGTACAGTAAAAACAAAAGTGGACCCAGGACCGAGCCCTGGGGGACGCCATTCGGGTGGCTTCAGACAGTATAACATCTGCATATACAGAAAAAGTTCTGTCACTCAAGCAAGAGGAACACCACTTTAAAACAAACCCAACAATACCAAACTCTGCTCCAGTTGGTTCACCAGTGTGTGTTGTGGTCCACTGTGAACTGGGTAACGTGTCAAATGGTCTGCATTTGTTCCTGTGAAAAGCCTGTTAACACTGAGACATTTGAGTCTGACACCTCGGCACCTCGAGCCCAAATGGCCGTGTGTGTGTGTGTGTGTGTGGGTGGGTGGGTGGGGGGTGGGGGGGGCTTCACACCTCTGTCTCTACACGACTAATCAATCGCCCCTTTATTTCAGTAAATAATTAAGAGAAGAGTTTGGAAAACAAACCCTTATTGCATTACATCTGTACGCTCGCTCAGTTTATGCTTTAGCAACTCGATTGATGGAAACAGGAACTAAACAGAGCTTTGAAAACATAACAAAAAATGTTAGTGCCAAGATTAAAGTAAAGACAGTAATATTCATGAAATATTGCAATGTAAATCATCTGTTCTCTATGTGAATATACAGTAAAGTGTAATTTATTCCTGTGATCAAAGCTGAATTTTCAGCATCATTACTCCAGTCTTCAGTGTCACATGATCCTTCAGAAATCACTCTAATATGAGGATCTGATGCTCAAGACACATTTATGATTATTATCAGTGTTGAAAACAGCTCATATTTCTGTGGAAACCATTATCCATTTTATTTTTCAGGATTCTTTGATGAATAGAAAGTTCAAAAGAACAGCATTTATTTGAAATAGAATCTTTTGTAACAATATAAATGTCTGTACTGTCACCTTTGATCACTTTAATGCGTCCCTGATGAATAAAAGTAGCCTATTAATTTCCTTATACATTTTTTTGTACTGATTCCAAAATGTTAACAGTATGTATGTATGTGTGTGTGTGTGTGTGTGTGTGTGTGTGTGTGTGTGTGTGTGTGTGTGTGTGTGTGTGTGTGTGAGTGAGAGAGAGAGTGTGTACCTACTTAACTATATATTTTGAGGACAATTTCGTACCCAGAAGTGACCAAAACCTCCTTTAGGGCCGTCCTCGTTTGTAAATCTGCTATAAAAATAAAGTAATTAAAGGTTTTTAAAAAATGTAAAAATGCAGAAAGTTGTGTGGGATGGCTTTGTATAGGGGTCAGGTTAGTGTGTGTGTGTGTGTGTGTGTGTGTGATGGCTTGGTATAGGGGTCAGGTTAGTGTGTGTGTGTGTGTGTGTTTGGTGATGGGTAGGTTTAATGGTCGGGTTTGTGTGTGTGTGTGTGTGTGTGTGTGTGTGATGGGTAGGTTTAATGGTCGGGTTTGTGTGTGTGTGTGTGTGATGGGTAGGTTTAGTGGTCGGGTTAGTGTGTGTGTGTGTGTGTTCAGTTTATTTTTAGATATTGTATTTTAGTAGCATCTCACATGTTAAATAACTAGAAACATTTTTTAAAGTAAAGTTTTAGCTTGTCTGTCTTCAAATAAAATTAAGCAGAATCCCACAGATCAAACTCAGTGAAGTGTGTGTAAAGCTTTGACTGGGACAATAGTGTTGTGTATTAGCGTCTCCCACAGGAGGGTGTGAAACAGCTGTGAGCCAATCGAGAGCCAGAGGCGGGGCTTCTGGGAGGACCAGTGCTCATTGGTCAGCAGATGGGCTCATTTGCATAAACCATGACCTATATGTGATAGGTGTGAGCTGGAAACTCCAGAGTCAAGCAGGAGTGAAGATCACGACGGACACTTTTATTCTCGCTTTTCTTTTTAAGAAATAGTCTAATTAATTAAAACAGTCTTTTTAGGACTATTTCTGAAATAGTCACGGATTTTTGTTTGGCGTTTGCAGACATGAAGTTCTTCTCTTACTTCACGCTTCTCTGCATGATTTGCAACGGCTTCTGCACAACAACAAAGTACTTTACATTTGAGGAAGATGCTCCAGGCACAGAGATCGGAAACCTTTCCCAAGACTTGAAAATAGATCCAGAAGAGGATCCCGAGACGTCATTCAAGTTCATCCAGAAGACGAACTCCATAATCCACATGAGGAAAGCCGACGGGCTTCTAACGGTGGGAGAGGTCATCGACCGAGAGCAGCTGTGTCACCGATCCCCACAGTGCCTCGTAACGTTTGACGTCGTCGCCTTTTCGAAGGAGAAATTTCAGCTCATCCACGTCGAGATCGAGGTCAAAGACATTAACGACCACTCGCCCCGGTTCACACGCAACGAAACGCATTTGGACGTATCGGAAGATTCGCCGCTAAACTCGCGTTTCCCTCTGGACGTCGCCGTGGATCTCGATGTCGGAGACAACTACGTTCAGAGCTACTATATTTCACACACTAACAATTTCGTGGTCGAGGTCAGCACTCGTGAGGACGGGGCGAAGTCAGCCGAGCTCGTGCTGATTAAAGCGCTCGATCGGGAGACGGAAGAGTTTTACACGATCGAGGTCACGGCGACCGACGGCGGGAGTCCGGCCAAATCCGGCGAAACCACCGTTTACATACGAGTTCTGGACTCTAACGACAACAGCCCGACGTTCGAGCACAACTCGCTTAAAGTGGAGCTCAGCGAAGACGCTCCCGTGGGATCCCGAGTGCTGAAGGTGCACGCCTTCGACCCCGACGCCGGGATCAACGGAGAAGTCGTGTACGGGTTCGTGGAGGGCTCGCCGACTGACGTCACGCGTGTTTTCCAGATCGATCTGATCTCAGGAGAAGTGACTCTCAGAGACACAGTCGACTACGAGAGCAAGAAATCCTACGAGTTGCACATTCAAGCTTCGGATTTGGGAAGCAATTCCATTTCATCGACATGCCGAGCAATCGTCGACATCCTAGACGTGAACGATAACGCGCCGGAGATTAGCATTAAACCGATGACTTCCACTAGCGACGGAGTGGCGTTTATAACCGAAGCCGCGGCGGAGGAGAGTTTCGTGGCGTTGATTAGCACATCCGACGGAGACTCGGGTCCGAACGGATACGTGCGCACAACTTTACAAGGACACGAGCATTTCAAGCTAACGCAAGCGTACAGCGACACCTTCATGATCGTTACGACCACGACTTTAGACCGGGAAGCCATTCCAGAATACAACCTCACTGTGATCTCCGAAGATCTGGGAACGCCACCGTTTAAAACCGTCAAGCATTATACGATACGCATCACTGACGAGAACGACAACGCTCCCATGTTCAGTAAAGCCTCGTACGACGTCTCTGTGATTGAAAACAACATTCCCGGATCGTACATGACCACGGTTGTGGCGCGGGATCTCGACGTCGGGAAGAACGGAAAGGTTTTCTACAGTTTGATCGACAGCAAAGCGCCGGATGGTTCTCCGATGTCTACCTTCGTGTCCGTGGATCCGCACTCGGGATCTTTATACACGCTCAGATCCTTCAACTTCGAGACTCTGAGAGAAGTCGAGTTCGCAGTCAAAGCTAGCGATAAAGGTTTCCCGCCGCTATCAAGCACGACTTTAATACAAATCCGCGTGGTTGACGAGAACGATAACTTTCCGTATTTTACGTATCCAGTGTTACAGAATGATTCTGCTGAAATCCCGATTCCCTTTAACGCTCAGGCCGGCTATTTAGCACTACGAGTGACCGCTAAAGACGACGACAGCGGCGCCAACAGCGAGCTCAGGTTTCACATCCTAGAAGACGAAAATCAACTTTTTTCCGTTGATAAAAACACTGGCGAGATCGTTTTAAAACGTCGACTTTCTTCATCATGTGGAGACGTCCTGCAAATTACAGTTTCTGTGGTTGACGGTGGTCGAGAGCCGCTGACTAGCTTAGCATCCGTGCGTTTCGTGGTCACAGACACTGGAGCTCAAGAAGATCAGGTGGTTATTCTACTCCGATCGAAGGACGACGAGACTGTGGAGTTCGACGTGTGGACACTGCTAATCGCTGGTTTCGCTGGATGCTGTGTGTTGTTACTGGGAGCCATTAGCGTGATCACCGTTAGCTGTGCGATCAAACGCCGGCGGAGGAGCTTCGGGAGAGACGGCCTGTACGGATCCACTCCACTGTCCAAGAGCAACAACACCGGCTCTAACGTTTACAACGGCGCTAACGCTTTCCTCAGGAACGAGAGCGAATCCATGCAACCCTGTCTGTATGAAGACAAGAGCCTGGACTTTGAGGAAAAGGTGAGTGATTTCTGCTGAACATCCTGTAGTTTTGATGCACATTTCAAAGTCAGAATATAAACTCTAAGCTTTTGTGTTAATAGCTGTTCCTGCCATGCAAACCTTTCGAACAAACATTCTTATGGCAAGATGAAAAATACTGTCTGCAAAGGAGGTAAGAAGGATTTTAGTTGTTGATTTTTACTGCATTTGCCTATCTGGATAATTGCTTGACAATAATTTAATAATTATAGGTACAATAAGGGCCAAAAGTTTGAGACTATTAGTGAAAATGCATTTATTTAGCATTTTTCTGATTTAATAATAAAATAAAATAAAAGAATACAATTATCATTATAATTACTGTTTTTAAATTAAAAACAATTATATTCAAATTTCACCACCAGTCAAAATTTGTGGATCGGTGAGATTTTTCAATGTTTCTGAGAGTCTCTTCTGCTCACCAAAGCTGCGATTATCTGATCATAAATACAGTAAAACAGTGTAATATTACTCCAGTGTAAATCAGCTGTTTTCTATGTGAATATATAGTAAAGTGTAATTTATTCCTGTGATCAAAGCTGAATTTTCAGCATCATTACTCCAGTCTTCAGTGTCACATGATCCTTCAGAAATCACTCTAATATGAGGATCTGATGCTCAAGACACATTTATGATTATTATCAGTGTTCAAAACAGTTATTTACATTTTATTTCATGATTCTTTGATTAATAGAAAGTTCAAAAGAACAACATTTATCTGAAATAGAAGCTTTTGTAACATGACCAAAACATGTTTGTGGTCAGTAAGAATTCTTATTTATTTTTTGGGGGAAATTAATAAAAAGAAATCAATACTTTTATTCATCAAGGATGCATTAAATTGATCAGTGACATTTATAATGTTACAAAAGATTTCATTGCAAATAAATGCTGTTCTTTTGAACTCTATATTCATCAAAGAATAAAATGTATGATGGTTTTTACAAAAATATGAACTGTTTTCCACACTGACAATAATCATAAATGTGTCTTGAGCATCAGATCCTCATATTAGAGTGATTTCTGAAGGATCATGTGACACTGAAGACTGGAGTAATGATGCTGAAAATTCAGCTTTGATCACAGGAATAAATTACACTTTACTATATATTCACATAGAGAACAGCTGATTTACACTGGAGTAATATTACACTGTTTTACTGTATTTTTCATCAAATAAATGCAGCTTTGCTGAGCAGAAGAGACTCTCTCAGAAACATTATAAATATCACGATCCAAAACTTTTGACTGGTAGCGTATATCATATGCATAATAATTTGAGTGACAAATGAACATTTAATTCAAGAATGAATATGAATCTGACCGTCTGTACAAAGTCATGTGATCACAGACACTAATTTAGTTACACTTAATAAGTTACCAAGAAATTATGCACCTGGCATATCTCTTTATACTGCGCTATAGCTTTTCTATAACTTTTCAAACTTGTTTATTTAAAAACTTTTAGGCCCGCTGTGTTTTTGAAACCAACATCACCTTTGGTCGTAACTGACACATATAAAGGTGTTTGTTCAGTATGTACATGCATGACTTTTTCTCTGGTCAGGGTTTAGCCTCTCTTGTACAGTAGGTCATGAACGCTGGCGGATTAGTCACGTGCCAGTGAATATGGTATTTTGTTCTGCGATGGAATATCAATAATCAGATGTGATTGCATTGACAGCGGCGCCAGCACCACAGATCAGCTGAGCGTGAAGGACAGTGGGAAAGGAGACAGTGACTGTAACGACAGCGACTCTGACTCCAGCGGAGCGGCTCTGAGGAGAAGCTTGACCACCTTCCAGCCGATGGCCAGAGGTGTGTGGCGTCTCTAACAGCTTTATCAGGCTTTACAAGGCTTCATCTCGTAACATTCAGAGAACTTTAAAAAGTAACATTCAGAGAACATTCTAAAGTAACGTTCAGAGAACATTCTAAAGTAATGTTCAGAGAACATTCTAAAGTAACGTTCAGAGAACATTCTAAAGTAACGTTCAGAGAACATTCTAAAGTAACATTCAGAGAACTTTAAAAAGTAACATTCAGAGAACATTCTAAAGTAACATTCAGAGAACATTCTAAAGTAACGTTCAGAGAACATTCTAAAGTAACGTTCAGAGAACATTCTAAAGTAACGTTCAGAGAACATTCTAAAGTAACATTCAGAGAACATTCTAAAGTAACGTTCAGAGAACATTCTAAAGTAACATTCAGAGAACTTTAAAAAGTAACATTCAGAGAACATTCTAAAGTAACGTTCAGAGAACATTCTAAAGTAACGTTCAGAGAATTTTAAAAAGTAACATTCAGAGAACATTCTAAAGTAACGTTCAGAGAACATTCTAAAGTAACATTCAGAGAACTTTAAAAAGTAACATTCAGAGAACATTCTAAAGTAACATTCAGAGAACATTCTAAAGTAACATTCAGAGAACATTCTAAAGTAACATTCAGAGAACATTCTAAAGTAACATTCAGAGAACATTCTAAAGTAACATTCAGAGAACATTCTAAAGTAACATTCAGAGAACATTCTAAAGTAACATTCAGAGAACATCCTAAAGTAACATTCAGAGAACATTCTAAAGTAACATTCAGAGAACATTCTAAAGTAACATTCAGAGAACATTCTAAAGTAACATTCAGAGAACATTCTAAAGTAACATTCAGAGAATATTCTAAAGTAACATTCAGAGAATATTCTAAAGTAACATTCAGAGAACATTCTAAAGTAACATTCAGAGAACTTAAAAAGTAACATTCAGAGAACATTCTAAAGTAACATTCAGAGAACTTTAAAAAGTAACATTCAGAGAACTTTAAAAAGTAACATTCAGAGAACATTCTAAAGTGACATTCAGAGAACATTCTAAAGTAACATTCAGAGAACATTCTAAAGTAACGTTCAGAGAACATTCTAAAGTAACGTTCAGAGAACATTCTAAAGTAACGTTCAGAGAACATTCTAAAGGAACATTCTAAAGTAACATTCAGAGAATATTCTAAAGTAACATTAAGAGAACATTCTAAAGTAACAATCAGAGAACATTCAAAAGTAACATTCAGAGAACATTCTAAAGTAACATTCAGAGAACATTCTAAAGTAACATTCAGAGAACATTCTAAAGTAACATTCAGAATACATTCTAAAGAAACATTCAGAGAACATTCTAAAGTAACGTTCAGAGAACATTCTAAAGTAACATTCATAGAACATTCTAAAGTAACATTCAGAGAATATTCTAAAGTAACATTCAGAGAATATTCTAAAGTAACATTCAGAGAATATTCTAAAGTAACATTCAGAGAGTATTCTAAAGTAACATTCAGAGAACTTTAAAAAGTAACATTCAGAGAACATTCTAAAGTAACATTCAGAATACATTCTAAAGAAACATTCAGAGAACATTCTAAAGTAACGTTCAGAGAACATTCTAGAGTAACGTTCAGAGAACATTCTAAAGTAACATTCAGAGAACATTCTAAAGTAACATTCAGAGAATATTCTAAAGTAACATTCAGAGAACTTTAAAAGTAACATTCAGAGAACATTCTAAAGTAACATTCAGAGAACATTCTAAAGTAACATTCAGAGAACATTCTAAAGTAACGTTCAGAGAACATTCTAAAGTAACATTCAGAGAACTTTAAAAAGTAACATTCAGAGAACATTCAAAAGTAACATTCAGAGAACATTCTAAAGTAACATTCAGAGAACTTTAAAAAGTAACATTCAGAGAACATTCTAAAGTAACATTCAGAGAACATTCTAAAGTAACATTCAGAGAACATTCTAAAGTAACATTCAGAGAACATTCTAAAGTAACGTTCAGAGAACATTCTAAAGTAACGTTCAGAGAACATTCTAAAGTAACATTCAGAGAACTTTAAAAAGTAACATTCAGAGAACATTCTAAAGTAACATTCAGAGAACATTCTAAAGTAACATTCAGAGAACATTCTAAAGTAACATTCAGAGAACATTCTAAAGTAACATTCAGAGAACATTCTAAAGTAACGTTCAGAGAACATTCTAAAGGAACATTCTAAAGTAACATTCAGAGAATATTCTAAAGTAACATTAAGAGAACATTCTAAAGTAAAAATCAGAGAACATTCAAAAGTAACATTCAGAGAACATTCTAAAGGAACATTCTAAAGTAACATTCAGAGAACATTCTAAAGTAACATTCAGAGAACATTCTAAAGTAACATTCAGAATACATTCTAAAGTAACGTTCAGAGAACATTCTAAAGTAACATTCATAGAACATTCTAAAGTAACATTCAGAGAATATTCTAAAGTAACATTCAGAGAATATTCTAAAGTAACATTCAGAGAATATTCTAAAGTAACATTCAGAGAATATTCTAAAGTAACATTCAGAGAATATTCTAAAGTAACATTCAGAGAACTTTAAAAGTAACATTCAGAGAACTTTAAAAGTAACATTCAGAGAACATTCTAAAGTAACATTCAGAATACATTCTAAAGAAACATTCAGAGAACATTCTAAAGTAACGTTCAGAGAACATTCTAAAGTAACATTCAGAGAACTTTAAAAGTAACATTCAGAGAACATTCTAAAGTAACATTCAGAATACATTCTAAAGAAACATTCAGAGAACATTCTAAAGTAACATTCAGAGAACATTCTAAAGTAACATTCAGAGAATATTCTAAAGTAACATTCAGAGAACTTTAAAAGTAACATTCAGAAAACATTCTAAAGTAACATTGAGAGAACATTCTAAAGTAACATTCAGAGAACTTTAAAAAGTAACATTCAGAGAACATTCTAAAGTAACATTCAGAGAACATTCTAAAGTAACGTTCAGAGAACATTCTAAAGTAACGTTCAGAGAACATTCTAAAGTAACATTCAGAGAACATTCTAAAGTAACGTTCAGAGAACATTCTAAAGTAACGTTCAGAGAACATTCTAAAGTAACGTTCAGAGAACATTCTAAAGTAATGATCTCATAATGTCTGAATAATGATACAATTGAATGTTCTCTTAACATTCATATAACCAAGAAAAAAGTTTTAGACATTAAAAAAAAAGGACATTCTGAGAACATTCAGAAATTTTGTTTTCATAACTTCATGGGAATGCTAGCAAAGATGAATAAATACTGACAAATGCATTGCTTGTTAATGTTAGTTTATGGGAGCTGGTTATGAGGCGTCACTGGTTCCCTTGAGATCCTCATCAGTATTCCCTTGAGATTTACACTTAATGTCCCCTGGCTTGCTTAGTTGGGGATATTTACAGTTTTTCTCGATTGCTTAAACACTATAACCAGGCTTTTGAACTAAAATTTCAAAACCATAATGCCATTTATCAAAAAGCACACCCATTTCACTGAACTATGAACACTATTCCCTTGTTTTGACACATTAGTCAGATTTGCTGAACTGTCACAGCAAAACTCTACACACAAATCCCTTCATTTCTCATTGCCTACACCACGTGGTCATTTAGAAAGCACTAGCATTCAAAATTGTTCACTCAAGTCAGCTCAGCTTCAGCTCAGTTAGCACACAATTACCCAGGTGGAAACACTAAGAGTCAAAATTGAACACACATCAGTCAGATCCTTCAATAGATAGATAAAAGGTTATACAATCTTTTATAAAAGATAAAAATCAGTTTACTGAGTTTTGGAACAATGGATCCACAGAGAAATTACAGTAAGCAATAGGTCGAGGAGGGAGAGGAGGAGGAGGAGGAGGAAGAGGAGGAGGAAGAGGAGGAGGAGGAGGAGGAGGAGGAAGAGGAGGAGGAGGAGGAGGAAGAGGAGGAGGAGGAAGAGGATGAGGAAGGGCAAGGGCAAGAAGACAAGCAGTCTCGGATTAAATTCAAGCCACTTTAGTTGGCCATGTTGTCCATGGTATGACTATGAGGGAGGCTGGGCAACGAGTACAGACAAATTTGAGTCGCTTCACCGTCGCCTGAACGTCGCTTCACCATCATCAGATCCTTCAGGGAGGTGTGGTGGCAAACAGATTTCTATCACTGAATAAGAGACAAACATTTCCAATTGTCTTTGATGAGGTTTATGTTCTTGCCAGAAAAGGCCAGCAGTCGTACAGTCACACAGAGTGGCTGCAGAGTGTGACAGTGAAGGGAGGGCATCCTTTCTCCTTTATCTTGACTCCCAGAATGTTATCTTTCTAGGCCAATGATGGTATTTCAACCATATGTGGAACATTCTTAGACTTGTTCATCATATTGTATCCTTGAGTGGAGGCATGTACCAACACTCTTTACCATTCCAATACAATTCCATATTTGAATAAGGTTTGTGTGTGCTCTTTTACTGTCATATGATGCTCACACACATCTTGAGTAGAAGCGAGTAAAAAAAAAAAGATGGATGGACCACAAGCAACATGACTTACCAGTTTTGGAAATGTTGTTTTGAATTTATAGCACCAGTGTGTAAGACTATGTTGTAGTGTGTGTATTTTTGAGGGCTTGTGTGTCCTGTCTGAGGGCAAAGTTTGGTTTTTCAGCAAGAGTGAATGGTTTTGAGTGTAGAGCTTCATTTTGACCTGAAAATAGGATGTTTGGGGAATTGGGTGAGACGTTATGGATTTGTGTTTACTGTTTTGAGAATACGAGGCATAGTTTCAAGAAATGTGTTTAAGCAATCGAGAAAAACTGTAATATTCAACAATATTATTGATCTCCTGCATGGGCAGCATTATATGAGAGCTGGACGATGACATCACGGTTTTCTCCAGAGCGGCTATATATATAAATGAACTAAATTAATAACTTTTTTACAACAGAAATGAAGCATCTCTGAACATACTTAAGCTGGACTGTGACGCTATTCTCTTCTGGAAACAAACATTATTTTCCTGTTGTCTCTGTAAAGCTGCTCTGAAACACTCTGTGTTGTAAAAAGCGCTGTATAAATAAATGTGTCTCGACTTAAAACGAGATAAATTTACTTGCTTTACTACCAAATTATGTGAGATTTGAAATATGCATAAAAGCAGTGCATGTAATGCGTGTCCTGTTTCAGGGTCGTTTGGAGACTGGAGGAGTGGTGTAATACAGACCCGTCACACACTCGCCCCCCCCGGCAGCGCATACACCATCGGCTTCTCACACACACCTCTTTACCACACCACTCATCACCTCAACACACACCTCAACACACACCTCTCTGCCCGGCGCTGGAACGAAGGCCCGGGGAACATGCAGAACCGGAGCATGCAGACGTTCTCCCGCACCGGGACTCTGCCCTCGTACTCGGCCCATCAGGAGAGGCGGAGCGTGTCTGGGGACCAGGCGCAGACGCTGACACGGGCGCAGACGCTGACACGGGCGCAGACGCAGACGCAGGCGCAGACGCAGACGCAGGCGCAGACTGAAGTCGCCACCAGCTTTTAGAGACGCAGGCGCAGACGTTCTCCCGCACCGGGACTCTGCCCTTGTACTCGGCCCATCAGGAGAGGCGGGCCTGGGGACCAGGCGCAGGCGCAGACGCAGGCGCTGACACGGGCGCAGGCGCAGACTGAAGTCGCCACCAGCTTCTAGACATCGTCCCGCTTCATCCGATCCGATTCACTGAGGAAAACCCTTTCAGTACGCTGAGAAAATCCTGCTCTCCCTCAGTGTTTCTGTCTCGCTTTCCAGCACAAACACCTCAACATTCAGAAATCAAGATAACTGAGAAGCAAATAACTGAGGATATTAAGAAAAACTGATCAAAATGAGTTTGTGCTTAAAACTAGAACAAATATCTGCTAATGGAGTCTGAAAAATAAACGTAATTCAAAGGGAAAACAAGATTATTTCGGACTCCTGTGGCTGATATTAGTTCTAGTTTTAAGCTCAAACTCACTTCATTTTGATCAGTTTTTCTTAATATCTTCTTCAGTAAATGTGTCTGGTAACACTACAGTAAGGTTCATTAGTTCGCATTAGTTCATAACCATCAGCAATACATTTGTTACTGTATTTATTAATCTTTATTAATGTTAGTTAATAAAAAATACAGCTGGTCATGTTAGTTCACAGTAACTAATGTTAACAACTACAACCTTTGATAATGTATCAGTAAATGTTAAAATTAATATGAACTAAGATTGATAAGTGCTGTAGAAGTATTGCTCATTCTCAGTTCATGTTCACTAATGAACTCTATTGTAAAGTGTAACCATGTATCTTGATTTAAGAATATTTATATATTTGTGCTGGAAAACAAGAACAGGTTTTGCTGGTTTACTGTAATTCAAATCGAAGCGTTTTTTTATTTATTTTTATTTAAGAAAATATTTTTTAAGAACAGCCCGTGAAAGTTAAATGTATATATTTGTTGTACATATTTGCATATTCTGTATATGTTTTTCTCACTGAAAACTGTTTTTGTGCCCCTGATGGACTTAATTCAGGAAAGGAGTAAATCCAGTTCCATCATAGATGTTGTTAGCTATGAGTTTGTATATCTTTACTAAAACAAAAAAGTGAATTTGATGCTGTTTATTCCCTTCCCACATATTTATATTTTCTTCTAAAGTAGTTTACAGTAAAAATGTGTTTAAATATATGCACACAGACTCTGATTAAGTATCTCTCTCTCAACAAAAGCTGCTTCTCTTCTATATGTATATGTGATCGTCTTCGGTTGTTTAAACGAGGCTTCTAAAGTTGTGCTGTATATACTTGTGTGTAATGTCTCACCTCGGTGACCCAAATAAAGGTGTTGTAAGTGTTTGTGTCTGAGCTGATTAGCTGGAGTCATGTGACCATCCGGGCTTCAGGCCCGAACACACGGCCGGGATTACAGGACTCTTCATCACATGAGGATGAGGAGGAGGCTTATAAAGAGCAGGCATTAGTGGAGGGAAAGAGCTCGTGTGACGGATTATAGACATCACTTACAGGTGCAGAATTACACCATCACAGATTAAGATGAACACAAGCGTCACGAGTCGTTTACTGCAGAAGAACAGTGACTGAAGATATTAAGACTTGAAAAATGGGGGGGAAATCATTCAAACGAAGCGAGTTTGTGCTTATAATATCTGACAATGGAGTCAGAAAAATGATCTCGTTCCCTTTTGAATTAAGATTATTTTTCTCCATTAGCAGATTCTTGTTTTAAGCACAAACGCACTTCATTTGAATGATTTTCCATCATAAAACACGACTTGATATCCTGATTTAAGAGTTTTTAACTGTGTGCTGTAAAACAAGATGAGAAGAACGTTTATGCACTGGAGGAGAAAATGCAGGATTTCATTTGAAACCCTTTTCTACAAAGAAACAGTAATCAACACTTTTAATTAAACTTACATTTTGAAGTAGAAAGATTGAAATATTATTTTCCAGTCCAATGATATTTATTTTATTTACAACTTCAACTAAATCCTGAAAGAGAGAGAGGCGATGTGAGCAGCGGCGGCGTGTGCTGGTTTCGCTTCCGAGCGACTGGGAACCACCAGGACTTCTCCGTACACACATCATGCAGGATTACACTTCTCCCAGAGCAGGAATAAAGATGGACTGAGTTTGAGAAAGAATGGATTCATCCGTTTGCCTTTGGCCTGAAGGGATGTTTTCAATAACAGGATGGAGATCCGGGTCGGCTCATCCCGAATGACAGATTTCCAATGGGATATGAAGGACAGTGAAGGATCGATATGACATGGGTTATCGTTTTCCATCGAGCTCGACACGAGTGCAGCTACACACTTCACATCTACAGAGTTTCTCCTTTTTAATTCAATAATCTAAAAATAATCACATTTGAGAGCAGACTCTGCAAGTTAAACTGATATAACATTTCTTTCTGTAATGTTTTCCTCCCTGAAAGCATAAAGTTTGTGCTCATAAATGTGTGACTTTATGCTCATAATTCAGCAAATCCAGTTCAGTTTCTTTCACAGACGCCAGTTATGAGTTTGTGTGTCTTTAGTAAAACATAAGTGCACATCTTCCACATATTTATATTTCCATCTGAATATGATAATGCATTAACAACTCTACACAGCGTTTACGCTTATAAAACAGTCATAACTGTATATTTTTCAACTAAAACCATGCTGTATCTGATCACGTCTTTAATGAGTGAAGGAACGGTGGAAAGGTCTGAATCTGACCCTGTTTTTACTTCTTTACCCACTTTTTATTAATTATTTATTATTTCATCTTCGTTTTAACATTTTTATGAACCTCCAAGTTTCTCTCAAAAGTAATGCATGTTTTATTTGACAGAAAACTTCATTATTCAAAGTATTATCAAATTGGTTATTTCAACTTAAATTATAGGCTTGAATTAGTTGATGAGTTAATGTAAAAACATGTCTTATTATTAATCATATAATTACAGTGGAAACACATGACACTGCATCAGTCTGTGAGAGATGGTAAACGGCTCATAATTGAGTGTGAAATGTGGGTAATTCTGTTTCATATTTAGGCCCGTTATAGAGATGATGTTGAACTTCTACAAAAAGGTGTTTTTATTGGAACAGAACTATAGATATTCAATATTCATACGCTGGCTCAAATAACACACATCAGCTCTTCAGTAGTTTTGCTGAAGGCGTTTCATAAATCATGCCATGATTGTATATGATTGTGCACTAAAAACTGAGAGATTGTGATATAAATATCTTTCATACTCTAGTATTGTCATATTCCGTCAGCACAGTCTCATTAACCGTTGCTTTGTTGGACATTTCTTCACATAAAAACAACACATTCTAAAAGTAGCTTTTATTTTCACCTCATAAATTCAACAAAAAGATCATTGTTAATCAGGATTATGGATGAAACTGCTTTATATTTTACTATAGAAAAGTGCAGAATATGTTCTGGATATGTGTGGCTGAATGCATATTCATAAAGATCACACTTCATATCAATAAACACTGTCATATTTTCATCTCTTCCAATTAAACCAATAAACACTTGCTTTAACTTTCAAAGCTGCAGTGAATCTGTTGTTTTCTGATGGAAAATAACAGTGTTTTCTTACGTCACCACGTGACTGACGCAACTCACGGGTAAAACCTAAACAAACAAAAACATTCCAAGAATGTTAGAAGAATAATAAAATAATAATAATCCCAGATGCTAACCAAAAACAGCCCGTATGCGAACACAAACAGTGCTCGTGTCACTACTCCCTGCGCGGGTAAACAGCGCCACCACGCGGTCAAGTGTGGAACAGCGGCATTATATTCACACCGATGTTTTATGCTTCTCTGAAAAGAACGAAAGGAAACATTTTTCTCATCTCCAGAAAAAGAAAAAAAAACTTTCTGTCGAGATATAGACAAAAATACTCAAGCATGGCCTCTTAGGGTTTCCGTAGATTTAGGAATGATAATCGCAGTGAAGGAGAGTTTAGTTTAAACCCTAATCACAGATGGACTGAGTCTGAGGTGAGTGTGGCGATGATGTCATTATAAAACAATAAAACAACTGCTTAACGCGGGACAGCAGTTCAGCTGAGAGAAATACTGCGTTGAACGGCAGAACAAGTTGTGTGTGTGTGTGTGTGTGTGTGTGAATGTGCTTCTCGTTCAGCGGAGTATTTCAGTTCCAATTCTTCAGTGTGAATGGATCATTCTAGTGTGAAACTTTAAAGCCTTTGCGAATTGTTTGTGATTACGCGTTTCACCTCCTGCCAGAGTCACGTGGTTCAGTGAACGAGGCTTGACTACGTCATCGCTGTTCCCCGGCTCGCCGGCAGGGGGCGATGGTGGTCTCCGTGAACACATGATCCATATGGGTTTTAAAAGGTAGACATTTTTAATTACACATTTGTATAGTAAAAAGAAAGCGTTTTAGTTAATAGTCTACTATCGGCCAAACTCTCCATAAAAAGCCTTACAATTTTATAAAATAGCACGTATTATACTGTACACTATTTAATTAGGCTATATTAGATGATTTGATCTTTCAATAAAACATGTACAATTGGTTTGTTTTCGTCGCACGTTCAGCGTCTGGCCAGCAGGGGTCGCCAGACTGTGGAGATTCGAGCGAGTCGAAACAGTGAATCATTTTGCGACGCAATCGGTTCAGTTGATTCAAAGCTTCGGAAAGCTTCGTTTCTCCCACACGACATCATTCATCTGCGATCTGCGATATGAAAGTGCCTGTGTTTGGATATAATAGAGACTACGGGATTGACTCGGTCACCGTGTAAATAGTGCGAGTGTTTTCACACACAACATTATGAACAGAGAAAGTGCTCTTCAATGCCCGGATGAGACTGAGGATTATAGCGCCAGTCTGGAGAACATTGTCAATAAGAATATAACATTTTTTGATTAATTACTCAGTTTGTACACTCTGTCATGTTTTTAGTTTTTGGGTTGTTTTGGATGTAGGCCTAGTAATAAGTCAATGGTGTATCGCGGAGAGCGGGACAC